TATTATATATATATATATTATATATATATATATATATATATATATATATATCACATTATTATTATTATTATTATTATTATTATTACCATTATTAATATTAATTATTATTATTATTATTATTATAATTTCTTATAATATTATTATCATGTGTTGAGGGACCAATCAAGGCGTGGGATCCACTTGGGAGATATCTCACTATCTGTGGTGAGATAGTGTGTCACTGGCGGCTGGGTCACTGCCATGGCAGTGCTGCTGGGGGGTGGGGGAGGATTCTTGATCCAAGGAATGGGAGGTACCTGCGTCTTCTTCGGATCGAAGTAGATAGGTCAACAAGTTTTTTTTTTCACGGTCAAAGTGTCAGCTGTGCCCTTGTGTACCTGTTTTCCGCCTCTCGAAGTAGTGCCTCCCTGTCCACCCTATCAATTCCTCTCTGTATTTTGTACGTCGTTATTATGTACTCCCTTCCCTAATCTCTCCTGGTAGGACATACCACCTAGCCCCTCCTTGTAGGACATATCCCTTAGCCTCCCCTGGTAGGACATATCCCTTAGCCTCTCCTGGTAGGACATATCCCTTAGCCTCTCCTGGTAGGACATATCCCTTAGCCTTCCTGGTAGGACATATCCCTTAGCCTCTCCTGGTAGGACATATCCCTTAGCCTCTCCTGGTAGGACATATCCCTTAGCCTCTCCTGGTAGGACATATCCCTTAGCCTCCCCTGGTAGGACATATCCCTTAGCCTCTCCTGGTAGGACATATCCCTTAGCCTCCCCTGGTAGGACATATCCCTTAGCCTCCCCTGGTAGGACATATCCCTTAGCCTCTCCTGGTAGGACATATCCCTTAGCCTCTCCTGGTAGGACATATCCCTTAGCCTCTCCTGGTAGGACATATCCCTTAGCCTCTCCTGGTAGGACATATCCCTTAGCCTCTCCTGGTAGGACATATCCCTTAGCCTCTCCTGGTAGGACATATCCCTTAGCCTCTCCTGGTAGGACATATCCCTTAGCCTCTCCCCGGTAGGACATATCCTTAGCCTCTCCTGGTAGGACATATCCCTTAGCCTCTCCTGGTAGGACATATCCCTTAGCCTGTCTTCGTAGGACATTACCCCTTAGCTCCGGGACTAGTCTTGTTGCAAACCTTTGCACTTTCTCTAAATTCGTGATATGTTTGACCAGGTGTGGGTTCCATACTGGTGCTGCATACTCCAGTGTGGACCTGATGTAAACTGTGTACACTGTCGTGAATTACTCCTTCTTTACATATCTAAAATCTGGTCATAGATATGTCTGGTGAGCATTTGTTGCAGCAGTTATTTGGTTGATGTGCTCGGTATGATACCCCAAGGTCCTCCTTAAGTGAAATTTGAAGCTTCTGCCCCCAGAGAGCCTGTACTCCGTCTGTGGTCCTCTTTGTCATTTGCCAACCTTTATAACTTTGCACTTACTATGGTTCAACTCTAGCAGCCACTTGTCGGACCAGGACTACAGCCTGTCCAGATTCACTGGACAAGGACACCTCTGATTCTTATCTTCTCTGTTATGTCGTTCACGTATACAAGAAATAGCACCGGACACAGGACTGACCCTTGTGGAACCACACTCGTCACACTCGCCCATTCCAACACCTTTTCTCGGGCACTAACTCGTTATTTCCTGTCTGTTAAATATTCCTTGATCTATTTTAGTGTCTTTCCTTTTATTCCTGACTGGTCCTCTAGCTTTTGCACTAATCTCTTGTTCGGTACTGTGTCGAAAACTTTCTTACAGCCCAGGAAAATGCAGTCTACTTATCCCTCTCTCTCTTGTCTTACTTCCGTTACCTTGTCATAAAACTCCAGTAGGTTTTTGACATGGGATTTTCCTTCCCAGAATCCATGCCGGCTGTCGTTCATAATCTTGTTCCGTTCCAGGTGCTCCACCACTCTCCTCCTGATAATCTTCTCCATGACTTTGCATACTATCTACGTCAGTGACACTGGTCTGTAGTTTAGTGCCTCGTGTCTGTGTCTTCTCTTTAAAATGGGAACTGCATTTGCCGTCTTCCATACCTCAGGTATTTGCCCAGTTGTGTGTGTGTGTGTGTGTGTGTGTGTGTGTGTGTGTGTGTGTGTGTGTGTGTGTGTGTGTGTGTAACTCTTTAAACACAAACAACGTTACCAGCACTATAAAAGCATACACTACAGTATCTGTTGCTCAGAGATAACAACTGTCTCGTGAGGGAAGTATTTCCTGAGATTTCCGACACACAAAATACAAATGATAACAGACAAACACACACACACACACACACACACACACACACACACACATATATATATATATATATATATATATATATATATATATATAATATATATATATATATATATATATATATATATATATATATATATATATATATATATATCAAGTTATTTTTCACTCGATGTAGAGCTTTAAGAGATGGGTAAGACCTGCCTAGCATGGGCCAGTAGGCCTTCAGTACTCCTCTAGTCTTAGGTTCGACATAGATTTCTGTCGATATTGTGGACGCGGTGGAGTTAGTACGCGTTGATAACCCATTAAAGCCAGGGATACCATGGAGAACAACTCCCGTAGCACGGCTGGTAGCGCATATATCTCACACACTGAGGTCCGGGGGTCGATCCCCGGTACGGGTAGAAACATTAGGACGTCCTTCCTTGAGACACCTGCTGTCCATGTTCACTTAGCGGTAAAATGGGTACCCGAATGTTAGTCCCCTTACACCTACTGTACATGTTCACCCATAAGTGAAACAGGTACCTGGGTGTTAGTGGACTGGTGTGGGTCGCATCCTGGGTGTTAGTGGACTGGTGTGGGTCGCATCCTGGGTGTTAGTGGACTGGTGTGGGTCGCATCCTGGGACAAAATTAACCTAATTTGCGGGAAATGCTTTCTATATAGTAGTATGTCACTGATGTCAGCTATGGTCTGTATACCTTGTACATGTACTTGTATACCTTGTACATGTACTTGTATACCTTGTACATGTACTTGTATACCTTGTACATGTACTTGTATACCTTGTACATGTACTTGTATACCTTGTACATGTACTTGTATACCTTGTACATGTACTTGTATACCTTGTACATGTACTTGTATACCTTGTACATGTACTTGTATACCTTGTACATGTACTTGTATACCTTGTACATGTACTTGTATACCTTGTACATGTACTTGTATACCTTGTACATGTACTGGTATACCTTGTACATGTACTTGTATACCTTGTACATGTACTGGTATACCTTGTACGGACTTGTACTTGTATACCTTGTACATGTACTTGTATACCTTGTACATGTACTTGTATACCTTGTACATGTACTTGTATACCTTGTACATGTACTTGTATAACCTTGTACATGTACTTGTATACCTTGTACATGTACTTGTATACCTTGTACATGTACTTGTATACCTTGTACATGTACTTGTATACCTTGTACATGTACTTGTATACCTTGTACATGTACTTGTATACCTTGTACATGTACTTGTATACCTTGTACATGTACTTGTATACCTTGTACATGTACTTGTATACCTTGTACATGTACTGGTATACCTTGTACATGTACTTGTATACCTTGTACATGTACTGGTATACCTTGTACATGTACTTGTATACCTGTACATGTACTTGTATACCTTGTACATGTACTTGTATACCTTGTACATGTACTGGTATACCTTGTACATGTACTTGTAATACCTTGTTACATGTACTTGTATACCTTGTACATGTACTTGTACACCTTGTACATGTACTTGTATACCTTGTACATGTACTTGTATACCTTGTACATGTACTTGTATACCTTGTACATGTACTTGTATACCTTGTACATGTACTTGTATACCTTGTACATGTACTTGTATACCTTGTACATGTACTTGTATACCTTGTACATGTACTTGTGTACCTTGTACATGTACTTGTATACCTTGTACATGTACTGGTATACCTTGTACATGTACTTGTATACCTTGTACATGTACTTGTATACCTTGTACATGTACTTGTATACCTTGTACATGTACTTGTACACCTTGTACAGTACTTGTATACCTTGTACATGTACTTGTATACCTTGTACATGTACTTGTATACCTTGTACATGTACTTGTATACCTTGTACATGTACTGGTATACCTTGTACATGTACTTGTATACCTTGTACATGTACTTGTATACCTTGTACATGTACTTGTATACCTTGTACATGTACTTGTATACCTTGTACATGTACTTGTATACCTTGTACATGTACTTGTATACCTTGTACATGTACTTGTATACCTTGTACATGTACTTGTATACCTTGTACATGTACTTGTATACCTTGTACATGTACTTGTATACCTTGTACATGTACTGGTAGAAATAATTATTATATTATTATTAATTGTACCCACCTAATCGTGCCTGTAGGGGGTCGGTTCACATGTCCTTGCAATGTTACACGAAGGGGGTAGATTTAAATGGGAATTACACATGAATTAATAGGGTTTTGAAAGGTTATTCGTTGGGGAACATTAATAATGGGTTGGGCCAAAAATTTAGTTAGTGGGTTTGCGTTTGAGAAGGCCGTGCCTAGTATGGGGTGGCCAGGTGGCCCGGTGGCCTGGTGGCTAAAGCTCCCGCTTCACACACGGAGGGCCCGGGTTCGATTCCCGGGCGGGTGGAAACATTTCGACACGTTTCCTTACACCTGTTGTCCTGTTCACCTAGCAGCAAATAGGTACCTGGGTGTTAGTCGACTGGTGTGGGTGGCATCCTGGGGGACAAGATTAAGGACCCCAATGGAAATAAGTTAGACAGTCCTCGATGACGCACTGACTTTCTTGGGTTATCCTGGGTGGCTAACCCTCCGGGGTTAAAAATCCGAACGAAATCTTATCTTATCTTATCTTATGGGCCAGTAGGCCTGCGGCAGTGCTCCTCCTTAAGTTCTTAAGACTTACCTGGTCCAGGGGATCCCCTGTGTTGCACAGTGATGCACATGTCATTATCCAAGGGGAACTTGTCACAGTTGAGCATGTCTGGCCATGGGAAGCTATAGGTCTGCATTCTGCTCTCACAGCCTCTTCTGACAGCCTCACACAGGCTGCGACAGGGGTAGATAGGGCTTTCCAGACAGACAGGAGTAAAGAGGGAGCAGAGGAAGAGTTGGGTATTAGGGTGGCAGCGGAGGTTAAGCAGGGGTACCCAGTACCCTGCCTGTTGCTGGGCCTCCTTCAGGGTGTCGTGTTCCAGTAAGTTTGGCAAGCGCATTTTGTCGTAGTCTATGCCCGAGCAGAGGGGCATGTTCTGGGGTATGTCGACGCATGTCGGCTCCTGGGGGCGGCCCCCGATCACCCCCCAGTCGGCGAAATAGGGACTGGTCTCCCCTTGGGTCGTTCCCAGGGGGAGAATCAGCCAGATGGCTGAGAAAGCCAGCCAGGAGGGCATTACGGACCGCACGCACACACAGCCAGACATATACTGGCTGGTAGACCTGAACTCGGCCCCTCGGCCGACCGTGCCGCCACGGACACGTACGTACACACACGTACGTGTACACGGATGCGCATATACCTGTACACATAACTAGTCTCTGGAGATGTGTTGTATGGGCGGGAGTAGCGTGGGTGGCTGTAGCTAGGGTGGGCGATGGGTGAGTGGTATGTTGGGTGGGCGACGCCACCCACCCGCCCATCTGTGTGGGTGAAGGCCGACCCACTAGTCTGCTGCTGACACTGTTTTATTGCTCAGCCACGCCACTGCTACCCACATGCTACCCACATGCTACCCACACACGCTATCCACACACGCTATCCACACACGCTATCCACACACGCTATCCACACATGCTGTTCACACGCTACCCACACACGCTATCCACACATGCTACCCACACACGCTATCCACACACGCTATCCACACATGCTACCCACATGCTACCCACACACGCTATCCACACACGCTATCCACACACGCTATCCACACACGCTATCCACACATGCTACCCACATGCTACCCACACACGCTATCCACACACGCTATCCACACACGCTATCCACACACGCTATCCACACATGCTACCCACACACGCTATCCACACACGCTATCCACACACGCTATCCACACACGCTATCCACACATGCTACCCACATGCTACCCACACACGCTATCCACAACACGTACCCACACACGCTATCCACACACGCTATCCACACAGCTACCCACATGCTACCCACACACGCTATCCACACACGCTATCCACACACGCTATCCACACACGCTATCCACACATGCTACCCACACACGCTATCCACACATGCTACCCACACACGCTATCCACACATGCTACCCACACACGCTATCCACACATGCTACCCACACACGCTATCCACACATGCTGTTCACACGCTACCCACACACGCTACCCACACATGCTGTTCACACGCTACCCACACACGCTACCCACACATGCTGTTCACACGCTACCCACACACGCTATCCACACATGCTGTTCACACGCTACCCACACACGCTATCCACACATGCTACCCACACACGCTATCCACACATGCTACCCACACACGCTATCCACACATGCTGTTCACACGCTACCCACACACGCTACCTTCACACATTACCCACACACACTTCCCACACACACGGTATCCACACATGCTGTTCACACGCTACCCACACACGCTACCTTCACACATTACCCACACACACTTCCCACACACACGGTATCCACATATGCTGTTCACACGCTCCCACACGCTACCACACACATCACACACATACTCACACACTACCTACACTTACTACCCACACAGTATCCACACACACTACCCACACTACTCACACACAGTACTCACACACTACCTACACATACTCCCCACACAGTATCCACACACACTACCCACACACGCTATCCACACACACTACCCAAAACACACATACACACACACGCTACCCACACACACTACCCTCATACACTACCTACACACGATAACCTACACACACTACCCACACACGCTACTCACATTGCTATCCACACACACTACCCATACATACTACCCACACACAGTACCAACACTACCCTCATACAATACCAACACTACCCATACAGTACCCACACAGACTACCCACACACGCTACCCATACACTACCCACTACCTATATCCTTCCTGAATCTGAATTTTTCTAACTTAAAATCATTGCTGCGAGTCCTGTCTAGGCTAGATATTTTCAGCACGTTATTTACATCCCCTTTATTTATTCCTGTCTTCCATTTATACACCTCAATCATATCCCCCCTAATTCTACGTCTTTCTAGAGAGTGCAGTTTCAGGGCCCTTAGTCTATCCTCATAGGGAAGGTTTCTGATACATGGGATCAACTTTGTCATCCTCCTTTGTACATTTTCCAGAGAATTTATATCCATTCTGTAATACGGTGACCAACACTGTGCAGCATAATCTAAATGAGGCCTAACCAAGGATGTATAGAGTTGAAGAACAACCTGAGGACTCCTATTATTTATGCTTCTTGATATGAAGCCAAGGATTCTATTAGCTTTATTGCGAACACTTATGCACTGTTGTCTTGGTTTCAGATTACTGCTAACCAGAACTCCTAAATCTTTTTCGCAATCCGTAATATTAAGATCTACATTATTTAGTTTATATGTGGACATGGTTATTATCCTGTCCAACATTTAGAACTTTGCATTTGTCTATATTAAACTGCATCTGCCACTTCTCCGACCACTGCATCAGTCTATTCAAATAATCCTGGAGTGCTCTAGTGTCCTCATTAGAATGAATTGGACGGCCTATTTTGGTGTCATCAGCAAATTTGTTTATGTCGCTATTTATTCCCTCATCTATGTCGTTTATGTAGATTGTGAACAACAAGGGGACCAACACTGACCCCTGTGGAACACCGCTTGTGACGTGCCCCCATTCTGATTTCTCCCCATTCATGCAAACTCTCTGCTGCCTATTTGTCAGCCATGCCCCTATCCAGGAAAAAAAATCTCCTCCTATTCTGTGTGCCTTAAGCTTTCTCAACAGCCTCTGATGTGGAACTCCATCGAAAGCCTTACTGATGTCCATATACACAATATCATATTGTTAGTCTTTGAATCCCTTGCGACCTTAGCCTCATAATTCCTTTTTGCTTTTCTTATTCCTTTTTTTATTTCTTTCTTTAATTGAATATATTGATTTCTTAACTGCCCATCCCCTCTCTTGATATGCCTATATAGGCCTCTCTTTTGACCGGTGAGATGTTTTAATCTATTGTTCATCCATTTGGGATCATTTTTGTTAGATCTAATTTCCCTACTCGGGACAAAAGTTGTCTGGGCAGCTAGAACTATGCTCTGAAATACGTCATATTGACAACCAACTCTACCTACCTGACACATAGTCAGGTCATCCCAATTTAGCCCACCCAGGTAATTTCTCATACCCATGAAGTCGGCCAAGCGGAAATCTGGGACAGTGACTTGATTGCAGTTATCTGTGTAATTCCATGATATATTGAAACTAAGTGATTTGTGATCACTTTCCCCAAGCTCGTCATTAACATCAAGATTATTAACTAGTGAATCTTTGTTGGCAAGAACCAAGTCAAGCAGATTGTTTCCTCTAGTTGGTTCTGTCACAAACTATTTTAAAAAGCAATCCTGAACCATATCAAGAAAGTCACTAGACTCAAGATTTTTTGTCACATTGTTCCAAACAATTTGTCTAAAGTTAAAATCTCCCATTATCACAACATTTTCATATCTAGATGCCTTATGAATTTCGTCCCATAACAGCTTACTGCTCTCCCTATCAAGGTTTGGGGGAATATAAATCACACCCAAAATTAATTTGTCACGACCCTCGAGAAACTGTAGCCAGATTCTGTGTTCGATGTCTCTAATCTTATATCATGTCTAAGACAACAATTTAAATTATCTCGGAATACATCGCCACTCCACCACCCTTCCTGTTGACCCCGTCAGTGTGGAATAGTTTATAACCTGGAGTTACCTGGAGTTTACCTGGAGAGAGTTCCGGGGGTCAACGCCCCCGCGGCCCGGTCTGTGACCAGGCCTCCTGGTGGATCAGAGCCTGATCAATCAGGCTGTTGCTGCTGGCTGCACGCAAACCAACGTACAAGCCACAGCCCGGCTGGTCAGGAACCGACTTTAGGTGCTTGTCCAGTGCCAGCTTGAAGACTGCCAGGGGTCTGTTGGTAATCCCCCTTATGTATGCTGGGAGGCAGTTGAACAGTCTCGGACCCCTGACACTTATTTTGTTATGTGTCCCTCTCTTAACGTGCTAGTGAACACCCCTGCTTTTCATTGGGGGGGATGGTTGCATCGTCTGCCAAGTCTTTGCTTTCGTATAGTGATTTTCTGTGCAAGTCGGTTATGCCCTCTGAAGGTTATTTCCAGGTGTATATAATCAGTATCTCTCCCACCTGCGTTCCGAAATACAGTTCAGGAACCCTCAAGCGCTCCCAGTAATGAGGTGTTTATCTGCGTTATGGCCGCCGTGAAGGTTCTGACATTTTCTAGTCCAGCATTTTCACCAGTGCTTGATAAAGTGCTGTTAGTGTGCAGCAATATTCCATTGCTAGATAGAACAAGTGACATGAAAGTGTCACATGGCGTTGGCACCCTATTGAAGTTCTCATTATCCATCCTGTCTTTTTGCTAGCAGATCGATTGATACAATGTTATGGTCCTTGAAGGTGAGATCCTCCGACATGATCACTCCCAGGTCTTTGACGTTGGTGTTTCGCTCTATTTTGTGGCCAGAATTTGTTTTGTACTCTGATGAAGATTTAATTTCCTCGTGTTTACCATATCTGAGTAATTGAAATTTCTCATCGTTGAACTTCATATTGTTTTCTGCAGCCCACTGAAAGATTCGGTTGATGTCCGCCTGGAGCCTTGCAGTGTCTGCAATGGAGGACACTGTCATGCAGATTCGGGTGTCATCTGCAAAGGAAGACACGGTGCTGTGGCTGACATCCTTGTCTATGTCGGATATGAGGATGAGGAACAAGATGGGAGCGAGTACTGTGCCTTGTGGAACAGAGCTTTTCACCGTAGCTGCCTCGGACTTTACTCTGTTGACGACTACTCTCTGTGTTCTGTTAGTGAGGAAATTATAGATCCATCGACCGACTTTAGCACGCATTTTGTGCGCTATTACGCCATGGTCACACTTGTCGAAGGCTTTTGCAAAGTCTGTATATATTACATCTGCATTCTTTTTATCTTCTAGTGCATTTAGGACCTTGTCGTAGTGATCCAATAGTTGAGACAGACAGGAGCGACCTGTTCTAAACCCATGTTGCCCTGGGTTGTGTAACTGATGGGTTTCTAGATGGGTGGTGATCTTGCTTCTTAGGACCCTTTCAAAGATTTTTATGATTTGGGGTGAGGCTATTCTGTTTCTTTTGGATCCCCCCGGGGAAATTTGGGGCATTTTTTTTTTTTTTTAGCTGGGGGTTTGGGGGGCCCCTTAAAAGCCCCCCTTATAATAAAAGGTCTTACTTCTTGCTTCTTAGAAACTTGGTTTTTTGGGGGTTGGGAAGGCATTTTTTTTTACCCGGGGGTTTTCTGGTCTGGTGGTTTGGTTTTAACCTTTTTGGGTTTTTAAAAAAAATTTTATTTTGATTGGTCTA